CCTGGAAAGAATATTGTGGAAATTCTTCTTCCGCTTCAGACAAGAGCAGCCCGCCTCTTGCTTCTCTGAACTGTACTATTGTCGATTTCTCATGCTGTACTGCGTTTGAGCGCATCCCGCTCACCACCTGCTCTGGCATACCTTGATGGTGTACTGTCGTGCAGTCGCAATGTGGCAGTGTGTTTGATATTCTGCCCCGTCCAGGAACACTCTCGCGTTTTTTGATGCTCTAGAAGCGTTATCTATAGCTGGACGGAATTTGTCCTCCGCCGGGTACAAATCTAGTAGGACAGCTCCTTTACAAACAGACGAAAGCAATTGCAATTCAAATCATCTCCATAAAAAGAGCGCATCCTGTGCCGATTCACGGTTCTGCCGATTAGTCTCGGAATGCCGCACAGCCTTGTGCATTTATACTTGCCGATGTCTGCGAGTAATGAGTACAAACGATGCCTCATGTGGACCTTCCGGCTTCTTGGGCCTGACAGAGCGCCGCCGAGAACTACCAAAACGATGCGACAACCGCAATGCATAACAGTGCAGCTGCACGGACTTTATGGTCAGTGGGTATAAGACTGAGGAGATTCAAAGGTAAATTATTAAAAGATTACATTGATATGAAAGCTATCATGACTGACGGGCGTGGAGAGGAGTTTACGGTCTAAACGCTCTAGATACAGCAAAAAGTAGCGTATGTATTATAACAAAAATTGCAGACGAACACCCAGCCCACACCTCAAACCAACAGATGAAAACAGCAGTTGGCCCGGACAAGATCGCTATCGCGGCCTCGTCGGGGACATACTTAGCTCGCGGACGGGTGGGAAGCATGCCCCTTCTTCTCTTGCGACGACGTGGAGTGCACCGACTCCTGGCCGTGGCGCTTGCTCTTGGGGCGCACATGGTGCTTAGACTTTCCAGAGGCTGCCTCGGCCACCATCCTGTTTTCAACGAAGTCAGAGCTACCGCTGGAGAAAAATCTCGTACATACTCACCGCTCGAGCTCGCGTCGCTCCTCGTCAGTCTCATCGGGAACTGTGGACTTGAAAATGGCGCCCATTAACAGCAGACCCTAACGGTGAGGGAGTAGGTCAGATACTACGCTTCACAAATGAACGAATGGAAGGTCGCATACCTTGGCTCTGTTATACAATATTTGATCTGTGGCTTCGTGATCTTTCAACACATTATCCACGACCTGATGTGGCAGAGTATATGGATTGAGAATGACGTATAATGACGGAAGAGCAGAAAATAACGAACCTCGCGCAATACTTGCACGACCTCAAAGCGGGTCCCTCGCCATGATGCAAGCATGATCTGCGAAGCGTGTGTAAGCAGAGTAGCCCAAAGAAACCGTCACAGGCCGCATACCTTGCCAGTGACGTCCTCTTCTAGCGCACGGAGTTCATCTTCTGGAACATCTCCCTTCGCTTGTAGTTTTTCCATTTCCTGTGGACCTCAATCAATCTCTCGCACATTTAGAATTGAAGTGAATCTAACCTGCATCACTTGCTGAACGCCTATTCTGCATCGGGTTTTAGACGTGTTTTTGATAAGGGCAATATATGCATCATGCTCGCATGCTTACGCGGATCCAATGACTCCCCACGCGTCTTTTGCAACAGTTCCCTTCTCCTTCAGCCGTGAGAAGAAGCCAGGACTACATAAAGTATCAATAACGGCTCGTCTGGAATGCTTGACAGCTGCACGCACATCCCGAGGAATTTTCGTGATTTCAGGAACGACGTCGCCTTCATCATGTAGACATTACCGATGGTATGTAGAAGCTATGAAAAATCTGAGCAAACAATCCGAGTCAAACGATCAAACAAAACTCGTCGCCGGGTTCTGCATGACAAGTAAAAATTAGCTCATTCACCTCGACGCCAAAGCTCTCCAGCTTCAGATCATCCGCCTCTTGCCGAACCTTCGCCTCGAACACCTGAGTCTCATTGTCATCCTTATCCCCTGGACGCTTTGCCTCCACGAATGGCCGCAGTCGGTCCTTCAGCTTCTCCGTCAGCGTCCGCACCCGTTCCTCCATGTTCTTCCGCCGCTCATCTTCTAGCTCCTGCAGCTTCTTCTTCTGGTCTATCGAGAGCTTCGAACGCTTCTTCGTATACTCTTTCTGCTCCTTCTCCCGCAGGTTTCCGGTTGAGGACGACGTAAGGCTCTGAGACGAGGATGCGGGAACTTCGGAGCTAACGGGCGAGGATAGCGGTGGGGACCATACGCCAGAAGCACGCGAAGGCGATGTAGGCCCGGCAGAGGTAGGCCGAGTTTTCGGTAACTCGACGGTGGGGCTGCTGGCGGAAGGCGATACAGCGGGCGACGTTGCGCCCTCGTTGAGATCCTTCTCCATCTCAGCCTTCTCCTCCTCAGACATCATGGTCGTCGCGACAGAAGTCATCTCTTTCATGAGCGAGATCTCGCCAATCTGCGGTGGCGTCAATACGTGATTTAAGGGGCGTGTGGCGCACTCACGTAGTCTCTAAATCGCTCTCCTCCAAAGACGTTGGCGAAGAAGCCCGCGGCATCTTCCATGCCCACTCCGCCTTCCTTGTCCACCTACACCGTAGACGTGTCAGCACCGGTATCGGCAACAGACGTGGCTGCGCACCATTTTAGCGCCATTCCGGTCGTAGACTGCTCGGAGATTCTGAAAGGGACGATCAGCAAAGGCATAACAGAGCTGGCTTAAAGGAAGCTCACTGGGTCGGACAAAACCTGATACGCCTTGCTGCAGAAGGCTCAGTCCTGGTATCCACGCACCACGCATCCAGAGTGTACTTGCCTAATGTCCTTGAATTTCTCTTCCGCATCCGGAGACGGATTCTTGTCTGGATGGAACTACACATAAGCTCAGCGATTGCACTGAGCATTTCAATCGGATTAACGCACCTTGATGGCTTGTTTCCGATACGCTTTCTTCAGGTCCGTATCATTCACATCAGGCGACACTCCTAGCTAGGTACGGACGCAGGATGATTGAGACTCCTCTCTTCTAGTATGGTCAACAATACGCACCAGATCGTAATACTCCGTTTCAACAGGTGCCATAGTTGAGAATGCAGCCAACGACCGTAGTAATAAACGAAGACAATGGAGACGTTAACCGAAGTGCAAGTCCAAGTTTGGCGATCTCTGCGCGCTCGCCACAGCGTCACCGCGCCGGCAGGAGCCGACAGATCTTGATGATCTGGCCACAGCCGCATTGAACTCTTCCGAACCGAACCGTGCTTATTTCTAGGCACACCTGCGGACAACCTCGAGACTTGGAGCTTGGAGTCTAATCGTATACGAATCATGAATAATTTGAACGTGCAGAACGACGTGACAACAGCGAATGTGCAATGGACCGAAAAGTGCGACTCTAGTACAGCCATGTGGTGATGATCGTGACGTGGAAGATCAATAAGATGCTACAACAGATGCGAATAGAATTAATGCAGAACACGCAGGGCACAGTGTCCCCAATGACATAAAAATTGGCCCAGTAGCACGATAAATACTCCTGTATGATGCTCCGGGTAGTGATGGGGAATGCGGATAGATATGTATACACCCGTCAACGGATGGTTATCCCAAATGGGAGGCCCAAAAATCTACGAAAGCGTAGCAGTCGCGATCGCCGGCTCGCTCACCGTCGGCGAGGTCGAGAACCGCACAATTTTCCGTGGCGTCAGCTCCGTAGAGACCGAATCGTCGTCCGAGTGCTCCGAGCTTGCACCTGAGCCTTTCCGGCTCGGAACTCGGAGCAGCTTTGATACACTGAACTGCAATCGAGTTGGCAGCAGCATCACACCCCTATTCGAGCGAGGCGTTGAGGGTGCATTGGAGGTCAGCGTAGATTCGCTGAGAGAAAGGTCTGACACGGATGGTGTAAGCGGCACAGCCGATGCGCCAGGGGACGTCGTAGGCGTGCCTCGTTTTTTCAGTGCAGAACGCGCAGGCGGCGGAGGTAATGGTATTGTGGAAGAGGTGGAGGCACTTCGACGATGTGAGTTCGCCGATGGTGGCTTCAGAAAGCGAGATGCACGCCGCGAATCGTTCTCGCCTGGGTATGCACTGTGAGGGGCAGAAGGGTGTGGCGACGGAGGATTGGAGTTATGAGGTTGCCGTAGATGTGGAGTGCGGGAGGTATGTAGGCCCATGGCGATTTGTTGAATCGTAGGACGTGGAGCGTCGTGGACATTGTATCGTGAGCGTACAGGGGGACTTCTCTCTTCTGGCGTAGAGTACATGCCACTATCCTATATGAGAGACAAGATTCGCACCCTCAAATGTCTAATGGAAGCTAGCGGTACTCACCAGAGGACTCCGATCTCTCTTCCTCGCCGCACTGCTCAACGACCTGCGCATGGTGCTCATAAAATTCATTGGGGTGATGCGCGTGTTGGACCCGCTCGCCCCTAGACTTCCCGATGGAGACTCAGCCAGCCACGGCTCTGTACGCGAGTGTGACGGCGGTGGGTGATAGCCGGGGTGTGGTTCAACTCGCCCCACATTACGAGCCTCCACCGACGCTGTGGAGGACGAAAGTGTATGCCGACGTCGAGAGGGAGACAGAACGTCAGTCATAGGAGATGACTGTGGCGTTCGCCGCCGGACGTGGATGTGGGATGATGATGGAAGGGATGAGAAAGACACAGGAGCTCGTAGGCAGCGCGGCCGACGATGACGAGGAACTCCGGGACGAACGAAACCGTGCCCAGTCACGCGAGCTGACGAGACAGATGAATCTTCTCAACCCGCCCTGCCCCGGCCACGTGTTCCCCATCAGTGCCTGCCATTCCTGAATAGGCAACCCATCAACTTTGTTCAACATTGCCACCACTGCAATTCCGACGTTCGAAACGTTCTCGCCTGATAAATTGGTCATTCTCCTACATAGTACATGAAGAGATGATGTCTAGTATATGGATAGTAAAGCACGCCCACATGATTGGCTCTGTTTAGAGTTGCCTCGGACCTTCCGGAACATTGGGCTTCGCCACCGTCGATGACCAACTGGTGCACATCTGTAATTTTTGCCGCTCTTGGCATATCTCACAGGGTGGCCGAGACGTACAAGATTGGCCTCATATGAGACATGGGAACTTGACTTGTTCCTATTGCGTTCTGAAGAAGGATGATGGGGAAAAAAGAGTAGTCATTGAGAGCGAGGATCCGCAGGAGACCAAGTAAATGGAGTCTGAGTGCCGGTTGTGGGAGGGACTGCAATGGAGCAGCTTCGTAGATCGCACGCGTATCACACCTTTAGGGAGCCAGAGGGACAGCGTCCGATTCCAGCATGATGTGAGCAACTTGACCGTTATTGTCCGTCAAGCGGTGCTTGACACGCCGTTTTCATGGTTGTTCCAGCCAAGACGTATCTAATCATGTGTATAAGCAACGAATCAAAGTAAAGAGCATCGTTTCACGCGGACCGTACTTTATACGATGTAAGCAAAGTTGGACCACGCACTTGACAAACGGTTTCATGGAGACGCTGGAAGGATGTGAATGTCCAACCTTACGTAGTCCAAGATCTATACGGGCAGTGATGGACCTGTCAAGGGGTTTCATCAAGACGTGACGTGCACGTTGAAACTCAGGTGATGATTAAGTTGCAACGTCTTCGAATCCACGATGATAGGTACGTCATTAAATACAGCGGTGGGTACCCAGCTTTGAAATGCTACTTGCTATCCATCCCCATTGTGCCAAGCGAAGCGAAACCGGCTGAAAGCCAGCTTGAACAACCCGTACACAGAGCGAATGCCGGATGGAACTGCGCTTAACGCCATTGTGAGATACTGCAGGTGGAGGTGAACAGCCTCGCCTTCAAGCCGCTCCTTCCCTGCGTGCCTCACGAACAGAGGACCTGCTGACTATAAGAACCGAATAGACGGGATACCCCTTGCTATCTCCATGATGTCGAGCATAATGTCATGAGAGCCCCCGTGGTGCATCAGGGTGCATCCCCAGAACACGACCATTTGACAGTAGACCCGCCGGCCGCATTACATATGACCGCAGGATGGAAAAGGTGCGGAATCAATCAGAAGGTGTGCCGGAAGTTTCAAGCGTGATCCTGCCGAGGAAATTGGGGTACTTGATGAGCGCATATGACAAGCCAGAAATCGTCAACCCAGTATCGCAGTCGGAACGGATGTCAGGTACGACAGGAATTCGATGAGCTATGAATCAGGCAGGGAACGAGAGAACCTGGAGATAGTGAGGGTCAGCGGCCATGCCAGGTATCGGACTAAATCGAGACCCTGTATCATGATTGTCAGGGTGGGATAACGTACAGATAGTTCAAACTCAGCTAAACAAATAGGCTTGTTAAATTACTACAATCGCTGACTTATCGGAGCTGGGCAGCCACAACCCCATATCGAGGCCACCGCCGCGGGGCGCTCAAGTCGCGTTCACCAATTCCACCACAACCACCCCGCTCGCTCCCTCATCTCCAATGAGTGCGCAAGGTAACACTCCCGTGGCGTCGACCACGCCGGAATCTGAAGAGCCTCTCAGACTTACGCCGCCTACACCTGACGAACTCGGTGAGCCCTCCTAGCACTGGTAGCCATTCCGGCCACTCACGCGATTTCTCCGTGTAGACGCCAAAATTCCTAGCAAACGCGAAAGAGAGTTGTCATTGGAACCTTCTACGTCACAGTCATCGAACATAGTATGTTGATTACTTTCATTGTTCTATGAATCAACAGATACTGTGGTTTCTAACGTCTTACGCGTCATTATGACCCCGCGTCTACGATTATCCATGCACTGACGTACCATCTTCTAGGATGATGAAGAACAGCAGATTGAGCATAAGGACCGGCACGTACTCACCAAGAAAAGCCGCGTCGTTGGTCAGCTGGATGTGCCCGAAGAAGAGGAGGAAGACGATGAGGTCCTCAGATCCTCTCCACCGTACGAGAGCAAGATCCGGGCCATAAGCCAAGGTGTTGAGGACCTCAGCTGGCAGAACATGCCTAGAGACAAGACTCCGGATCCAGAAGAGGATCGCGAAATGGACCGTCAACAAGATGAAGAGCAAGAGGAGGGTGATGCTCCGGATAAGGACCATGAGATGCAATCAGAGTCCCCTGAGCCACCGGAAGAGGTAACCACTGAAGCAAAGGTGGTGGATGGCGAGGAGGCCGCTGTACCATCGGCCCTCTTGCAAGGCGACAATCCACCTGTGGTTAACGATGATGGAGGCCACGATGAACATGCCAGTGAGGCGGATCCTGCGGAAGTGCCTCCCGATGCGTCACCGTCCGACGCACAGGAGCTCAACAGCTCTGAAGTGTACCCTGAGGTCTCATCCACGTCCATTACTCAGCCAGTTTCGATGACAGAATCTCGCTCTCGTAGCGGATCCGAGTCCGGGGCCGATCAGGGGAGCGGCGACCAGCATGAGCAACGAGAGACGAGTGTTAGCGAGAAGAGTACCACAAGCGAGACGCCCCATGTTGTCAACGGTGTATCCACAGGATCGGGTGCGTCGAAGCGGCGACGGGAAGAGCGTGATACAGACGAAAACCCGCGGGTTGCCAAGCGGCCGACTCCGCCTCCTGATCAAGAGCGAGAAGCGGAGCTGGAAGAGGCAAAGAAGGCGGCAGCGTCGCTGTTAGCCCGCAGTCAGACGCCGCCACCGAAGCCAGTTGAGGCCACGTCGACGTCTACTCCTAAGACAGTGCGTACTCAGATTTGGCGTTACTGTGCTTCTCTGACAATTATCTTCCATTAGAGTGGTTTTATGGCATATGCATCGTCAAACTCACCATTTGCTTCCGTGAAAGGCCCAAGTCTCTTCAAATCTCCTCCATCCTCGTCCTCACCCTGGGCAAGCGCTAGTTCAAGCGCCAATGAAGGCCCCAATGGTCTGCATGCTGCCACTGCATCTCCATTCCCTAGTCATTTCGGCACATCCTCACCTTCTAGATCGCCCGCGACCCCCATTGCCAGCCCTGCGACGAAGCGGAGTGGCTTTGAGGCATTTGCATCCAACTTGTCGATTTTTGCGTCAGCCGCGAAGCGGCCAAAATCCCCGCCACTCCCTGCCTTCGGAGCGGGCTCGAGTTCGCTCGCTCGCAGTCGGTCGCCCTCACACCCTTCCTCTTCGCGCCCACCGTCTATACTTTCGGCCAACGCTTTCTCTGCGTATGCATCCGCAGGCAAGCAGAGCTTCTCCACGCAGTCCTCTAGCCGGTCGAGTCCTGCCCTCGGCGAAAATACTGCAATGTCCATCGACAACAGGAATCGGGATTCTCCAGCGTTGAGTGTTCAAGATTCCGTAGAATCCGAGGAAACAAAGAAGGAAGAAGAAAGCGAAGAAAGCTCTCGAGACGCGACCACCTTCGGAGAGAGACTTAGATCTCAGAAGGACGAGGAGGACAGCGAAGAAAAGCACAAGCAGGAGTTCACTGAACAAGAAGGTGCGTATCCAATAAATGATGGCAACTATGATGCTTATGAAGATTTGCAGTCATCACGGGCGAAGAAGATGAGGAGACTATTTATCAATGCCGAGCGAAACTCTACGCACTCAATGATGAGAATTGGGCCGAACGAGGGACTGGCCAAGTCCGGATCAATGTGCGCAGAGACGACCCGACTAAGGCACGACTAAGTACGTCTCACATTGCTTTTGGGGACCGTGCTTTCATATGAGCTAATCTAATGCTCTGTGACAGTCATGAGGAAAGATTCCGTCTACACCGTGCTGCTGAACACCATGCTCGTGAAGGGCATGACGTGGACCAAGCACGAGCTGGACACGCGCTTCATCAGATTCGCCGCGTACGAGAAGGGTGGATTGATGAAGTACAATCTAAGGGTACGTCAGCTTTCCCCATCACATCACTGGAAGTGCATTCAATCACACGCATTCTTGCAGCTGCCCACGCTGGCTCAGGCGGAGGACTTCTACATGGAGATCGAGGCGTTCACCAAGTAGACTACGGACCAGGGAAGAAGAGACACTCCGACTGTTGCGATCTATACATTAGCTACGAGCCTGTTGTTCTGCTGCGCTATTCTAACCTCTGCCGCAGTTGTAATGTATTCGGATGATTCTTAACGAGCCGACGGTGTTCAAATATGCGCCTTTGTGGCTGAAAACTAGGAAGGCTCTTGGCAAATGGCCTCTACATAAGGGGCCTAGCGTCGGATCTGAGATGCTATTCTTACTGATCGAATTTCAGCTGCCGCGAACAGCCGTTAGAAGGAGCGTTGACGCCCAACTACTGTGAAGAGTCGATAGGTAGCTTATCCGCTCGCGGGGCGCTGCGATGATGTAAGTCAGTGATGGGAACTTGCTGGTGCAGTTTGCTGACTGAGTTCCTGTGAAGCACAGGTCCACTTTCTATTGGTGACCAGTGCTGGTTCTTGCACGTGCAGACATGCTACCGACTTTCACCCTCGTGACATCGATATTGCTTCTAATGCGTCCTTTTAGCTTGTGATGTCCATTGGAATGGTGAGCCGGTGCTATCGTACCTTCAGACAATGCGTTTATTGAAGGTGGAGGTCGAAGTTTAGGAGTAGCCACAACCGACATGGAGCATGCTCACCTCAACGTTCCCTAACAGACATGTTCTCCCGAAACCGCTTTTCTTTCGAAGCCGGGGCTGCAGAGCTAACTTTTGATTATAAGTCAGCTTCAAAAGATTTCGTCATGTCTAGCGTGGTCCAGATCTCGCAGATCATTCATATTAGCGGCAAGGCGAGACTTGATGTGAACTTTGTAAGAAGCTCAAGACACAGCTGATCCGCACTATCCGCACCACACCGAACGTACGCGATGATAGTCGACACACGCACCGAGGTCACCGAGCGCGACAAGGAGGCTGTGGTGTTTATTCCAAGGCCCAGCACAGTGCCCGAAGGAAGGATGCCCATGGTACCGGCCCTTGATATAGGAGGGAAAAGGCTGGCCCTCTTCGTCCTCCGCCCTGAGGGCTCTCTGCAACTTGAACGTGGTGACGGCTTGAAGGTCGTCTATGGTATGCTCTTACGCTCCGTCACGCCTTTCACTGTACTCATCACCCCTGCGCAGGATCCATCAACATGATGGACGCCAACGGGAACACTGTCACCCGCGGAGTCGCTCCTCCAGCAAAGGAAGTAGAGACGACTCTTGTGCTTTCGCCCGACGGGACGATCACGAGCGGTGAGAACGGCGCGGTGTTCCTCCGCATTGAGTCCTTGGAGCTTCAGTTCCAAGGGCCGTTCAGGAGGACGAGTCAAGTGATGACGCGGAACATCATCGGTGCCTCCGAGGTTTCCACTGAGGCGCAGAGGATAGATTTCCCGTTCGTCAAGGTGGAGACACTGCCTTGGGCCGGACATCGTGAGTGGTTCTATGGTATGAACGGGTATTAAGAGTGGTGTTGACTATGGTAAACTTCAGTCTTTGACGGTTTTGAAATCTGGAATATGTCTGGACTCTATGTTTACTTCAAGGATGACCCCTCCGAGTACGTCGTGCACATGCAGGCGTGGATGTTAGGACTCGGAGAGACGGTGGGTAAACTGATAGCTTTGCAAAGTGGAGAGTATGGGTTGAGTTGACCTGCGGATTTCAGGGGCGTTTTCGTGCGTATACGTTATCATGCAGTGGAAGACCGACTGACAGCTCTCTCAGACAACCATTCTGACCAGTCCTTCTGTGAAATCCACCTTTGCCTCTCCAACGGTGGTGGTACAAGCGGGATGGTCAGCTACCGACCTTTGTCGCATGGAAAGCCCGTCTGACACTGTCGTCTCGCAGCGTTACTTCGAAGACGACTACACGCGTGACATCGATCAGATCGCAGAACTCACGAAGGGCTATGTGGAGAAGAACAGCACCCTCCTCGTAGTGCCGGATATGCACGAACATGGTCCGCTGTGGAAGATCCAGCCTGGATCGCAGGCGAAGCCGCTGATGCGCTTTAACAATACGGTGGACTACCCGTGGCATGGCTGGATGGCGAGTGAGTTTGGGGAGTACGAGTTGCCGATAAAGAGCCCGCTCCCCGAGGATAAGCAGAGGTATGACCTCTGGCTAGCGTGAGTTTTCTATGCAACCATATATATAAAGTTGTGATGATCAAAGGCTGTTCGTTCCAGCTTTGAGTTTCCGGATTCGGCATTTCAATATTGATGGTCATGTGCACCCGGTGCCTGGGACACCTTGACAGTTCAAAGCGGAAAAGGTATATGTTTAAACAGTATGCATAGCCGACAATAGGATCATTCGGATATGTCACCGTTCTTACTGGATGAGAGTGCATTTACCCGTGTTAAGGAAGCTTTTCCGGAATTGACACGCATCGTCATCACGAAGACATCAATCTAGTCACGCACTGCACTGCTCCGATGTATCGTCGGAGGTGACTCTGCGAGGCGCGCCATAGAAGATGTCGGCGGCCGAGTGATCCCGGAGACGGTCGCGAATGTATTTGCCAGATGCGCGGATTGAACATTGATCCCCGCGTTGTCGAGCTCACAACGCGTGCCGGCATAATTAGGCGCCAGCCGGCGGCGGGGGCGGGAGGCGCTGGATCTGAGATGTGATGACTGATCGAATGTCAATTGTCGCGTGGCGCTGTCCTGCAACGACTCGGCGCTCGTCTGGATCCTCGAGGACGCGGCGTGTCCCGAGCACTGTCCGATGCGCGCTGCAGGGGCGACTGCACAGCTGTTCCTCCGACCACCTCAGCCGTGCAATTGTTGTTGCAGAAGAGCACGAACAGAACACAGCGAGGGAGTTCAGGCGCAGAGGAATGCGTGCGGGAAAAACATTCGTCGTTTATGTCATTTGGCGAGTCGAGATAACGATCTCGATTGCCCCTGTGATCAGCGGCCTGCGTTTTCTTGACGCTTCAACATCTGTTCCCGCTTCCCTTCTTCCCAACACCTCACCGCCATGAACGTCGCCGCCCTCCTCCAGGACTCCCCCTCCGATGACCACGACAACCGTCGCAGGCTTCAGCAGCAACGCGACCGTGAGCAACAGCAGCGCGAACGCGAACAGCAGCAACGGGATCGCGAGCGGGAGCAGCAGCAGGCGGCCCATCACATTGCCCTCCACGACCGCGACCGACTGCCGCCGCCTCATCCACACCTCTCGCCATCGCAGCAGTCGACTCATTCAAGCTCATCGCTGTCTCCTCTTACCTCAAGGCATCTTCCTCCACCGTCTTCCCCGCATAGGTCTTATCCGCCGCAGGACTACGGCCATGCACAGCGGGTCAACTTCCCCCCGTCGTCGACCTTCTTGTCAACTCCATACGAGCACAAATCACGCAGGCCAGAGCCGGAGCAGCCTCGTGTGCCTGAACAGGGTGCGCATATACACCATGCACCACCAACAAGCATAGGTATGTCCTTCCTTGTTGGTTATGAAGCGAATCCCGCTGTTGGGCAATCTGCATACGCTCAGTGTTTGAAGCGATGCTGGCCTCGATGTGCACATGACTCGAGTTGCTTTTGTCGTTATGTTGACGATATGGTTGAGAACACGCCGTTCGTCGTGTATCGCTTGACTTTTGCATGACTGCCTCGTCTGGCGTTGGTCGGACCTGCGCCCATGCTAATTCGTTCTTTCTCACGCTTCGCTGCTCCCGAGATTCATCATTGTTGGACTGCTGTCATGTGTGGCTTCCCTGCTTCTATTCGGAGAACCATATCTTGCATTCATTGGTCTCAAATTCATCCATTTTGACTGTTTGGCTCATCAGCTCAACCGTACACTCTCGAACACCGACCACTTCAGCCTCAGCCTCGTACCCATCAGGGATCGCACTCGCATGCGCATCCACACCAGCATGCCCATACGAACCCGAGCACGCCTTCCCCAATGTATATGCCCCCGCCCAATCGCCCCGGTCCATTGCACAGCTCTTCCATAGGCCCACCGAAACTCGGCCCTGGTACATCACCCCCGGGTCCTGGCATGCCTCCTCCGGGACACGGCAGTATCCCCTTGTACCCTACTCCCGTAGGCCCCGGTGTCCCGCCTGGCATGAGTCCTCTCTCAATGCCGAATCCGGGGCCAGGCATCCCGCCATCGCGACCGCTGCGCTCGCCACACGGTTACATGGAACCATCGCCAATGTACGGCGGCCATTCGCCGGGCGTTCCGGCGTCCGACTCGCAACACCTCCATAGCCAGCGCCCGCGCACGGGTGGCAGCTATGACTTTGGGCGGCGGTCGCCGGTGATGGGCAGTCTTCAGCGCCCGCCTCCTTTTGAGCGTGATGAACGGGATCGGGATCGTGACCGTGACTGTAGTGACCGAGAGCGCGAACGCGAACGTGACGCGGCGCTACGCTCTGGACCCCGAGCTCCGCCGCATTCCCAGTTTGGCATGCATCCGGGGTCTGTACACTCATCATCCACTATAGCGGTCGGTCACGGCGTTAGTCCTTCAATGAACGCGCGGACTCCTGGGCCATATATCCCTCCTCCGCAGATGCTCACCGGACCCGGCGCGATGGGAATGGGCGCAATGATGGAGCCGAAGCAGCGGGAGCTTGAACGCGAGCGGGAGAGGACAGCGGCGGAGACAAGGGCGGGCAATGTCGGCGAGTCACCTGGCGGGCGGCGCGAGCGCGACAGACATTCCATGAAGGACAAGGATCGCGAGAGGGAGCGTGACCGGCCGCGTGAGCGCGATGCGGATGGTTTCAGGCCTATGATTGGCCCGGGGATGGTCAACATTGAGGTAGAGCCCGAGCGCGACTGGTACCGGCGGACGCAGGCGCAGAACTTGACGCGGGAGCAGGCCAGCGATGGACAAATCTGGTCGCGATTCGCCCAGCCAAGACTGGTTGGAATGCCTTCTTCCAATTCTATGGCGATCGAGGACGAGCGGGATCGAGAGCTGAGAATGATGCATGAGCGGGATCGGGATCGGGAGAGGAGGATGCGTGTGGAGGAGATGCGTATGAGGGAAATAAGGGAGATTCGCGAGCATGAGAGGTTCATGGAGGCGGAGGAGGCGAGAATCCGTAGGGCTAGGGAGGCAGAGTGGGATGCGGAGAAGGCACGTTTCACCCGGCCTGTGCAGAGCAATAGGGCGTCTGCAAAGGAGAAGATCATGCGAGAGGACGAGCGAGAGAGGGAGGAACGAAGAGCGGGGAAGGCACGGGAGGAACAAGTGGACGAGAAGGGTAGGAGAGTGCAGATGCCTGGTACGTGGGTGAAGGACCTTGAGCATGAAGGGGAACGAGAACGGGAGCACGCTGAGCGGATGCAGAAGGAGAGAAATGACATGGAGGTCATGCGCTCCGTGCCACAAGTCCAGTCCCAAGTCCCTGGTCAACATCATCATCACTATCATCACCACCATGTTCTACCATCGGCTGCTCAGCAAGCCCATGTCCATATTCCGAAGCCTGGAAAGCAGATTGCCCCCGACTCCGGTGCACACCAGCAGACACAGCAAATTATCGGTCCAGGGATGGCTCAACGAGACATTCAGCCGCTTTTCGGACCATCATCAGAGCACATTCGTCAGCAGAACGTGATGCAGTACAGGCAAGGAGCGTCCAAGATGATAGATGGCCCCGTGGCAGGTCCGTCAACTCAAATGCACGTAGCAGGGCCATCTCAACATCCACAAACTCACCTGCAACACTCGCTCTCTGCTACACCTATTCGCCAGCATCCACAGGTTCATGGATTGGCAGACGTTCCAGGTGCAGCAGCCTTTGTGCATCGTGAGACTCCCTCTCGTCCCTATGGTACCATCCCTCTCAACGTGTCAGGCCCATCGGAGGCAATGTTCTTCCACCGACGTTCGCCGTCCCCCCGGCCACCGATCAAATCCAAACTCCCAACAGTGCGTCTGGGCACCTTCATCTACCCGCGAACGCCCTTCCCATTCCTTGATTTTCCGAGCGTGTCGTATGAGGCCGGTGCACCCGAGCGCGAGCCGCGCCAGTATCGCGCGACGATCCTCATTCCTTGCGGTTTCCTTCCGACGAAGAGGCCCGCGCAGCCACGTATATGGGGCGGCGCGCAGGTTCCCGCATTGGATCCCATTCCCTTGTCGACGCAGGTCGGACCGCCGGGTGCGTCGTTCAGCCATCCGCATCCGTACGACAAGTGGGGCACTCGCCGCGTATATACGGACGACTCGGATCTGATACTCTGTGCGCTGCATGCGGGGCTGCTGACGTGGAGCGGCACATGGCAGGCGAAGAGCGAGAGGAAGGATCTGAGGATCGAGGTGAAAATCACGAGGGAGGCGCGATTTATTGGTGGCTTTGGGTCGCGGTACATCAAGGTCGCGGGCTTTGGTACGATGCAGGCTCGTCATGAGAGCGAGGATGATGGGAGTACCCTTCTTAGCGCAGGCTGGGGCAACAGCCATGACGGGGCCGGCATTGAGATCTTGACGGCTGTTTTCGTTCAGGTAGGTGCTTCCTGACTGCCTTTCCGCGCAGGAGCTGACACCTTCTCCCACAGCGAGGGGCCGCTCACTCGAAAGGTTTGTGGAATCGCACACAGCGGATTGCTGAGTACTCAGAGCGGCGCTCCGTGCTGTGCGACGCACCTCGAAGATCAAGGAAGCGACGTCGCGTTGATTCTGAGCTTCTGGACGATGCGGACTCCGCAGTCATCTTTGAAGTTGAGCGGAGTGATTGTGATTCTTGCACGGCGCATACGATCACCTTTGGATTTGGACGGGCGACGTGCGTTCTTTGTCGTTCTTCCCTGGATTCGTGTTGACAAACGTGCTGCAGGTGCAAACGGAAGCCGTTGGCGAACGAGGCAACTGTGTCTGTGGATGCAGATATAGTCATGTCTAGTCCTGCTCGAAAACGGCCACGTTCTTTGTCGCCGAGCGGGACGAGCGCGACCGCGACGGTACTCGAACAGTCCGGCGCTATAGCGATGACATTAGACGAAGACAGTACATTGTCCGTTCTGCTTAGCAAAAGTGTTGAGGAAGCCCGGCCGTCGGAAAAGCCTTTAGATCCATAGCTTTTAGTGAGCTTGACGTTTGTGGGTACTTGATGTCGTTACTCTGTCAGAAGTCAGTACGCTGCTGCTGTCGAAAGCTGTCCTTTGCATGTCTGTATCCTATATCACGATGTCCAGCTCGGAGGTAATTACATTGTAACACTGACATCGCCCAGTCGAGAGCGATATGATCTAATGCTGTCGGTCAGGCAATCGTGGGCGAGATTCAGAGTTAGGCAATATAGTGCAACAGTTGAAGTATTTGAGTACAATACAATCGTCACAATCCGTCCCAGGATAATGATCACGGTACACGACGGGTACGAAGTGAGAGTTGGTTCTCCCAAGGAACGTAAGGTCCTCGGAGCGACAACATCAACGACTCCTCATGACTTAACAATCCATACAAGTCGCGAACTCACTACGACGCATGCATGAACGAGGCGAAATAAGAAGCTATATCCTCGAGCTCCTCGAAGGGAGCAACCATGCCAACGAAACCATCCGGCCTCACGACGACGATCACCCCTCGGAGATCAATACCATACTTCTCGTACCCTCCGCCACCTACTCGTCCGTACATGTCCGTGTCGTCCACTAAGACCCTGTAGATGCCAATAAACATCGTCAAAACACGATTAAATCATAGTTTCTGCTTACTTTGACCAATGCGGCCGCAACAATGCCGGAAAATCGGTATAATTCAGAGATCCTTTCTTACCGGCGTTGATGCACAGGATATCGAAGACACTGTCGATGCCACCTTTCGAGAAGCGCTTGAGGAATGCATTCGGCTGCTCCATGTCTGCGGCGAGCTTCGTCACGCGGTCAGGTTGTAGTTTGTCGCGGATGTCTCCCGTGAACACGAGGATCTTGAAGCGCGTGTCTGCCGGGAGGAGATCCTGTATCTCGTAGGGCCGGGCATCTGCCGCTCTCACGAAGACGTGGGGTACCATGCGCTCTCCAATGATGAGGTTGCTTGCGTAGGCTTGATGCTGAGTGTGCACCACCGCTGACGGGAGATAGTGGACGCCGATTCCACTCATGAACAGGCCGAATGTCTGGAAGGCTCTGCGAAGATGAAGCAAGGTATAAGCGGGTTTGCCGCAATAATACTTATAGGAAACCCTACTCTAAGAATTCCTCATGCGTCACGCCATCTTGATGTGACTCCGTCCTGGGCTTGCCGGAAAAGAGAGCGGCGAACTTTCTATCAAAGTCGATCAAGTCTTGGGCATACTTCCGACGCTCGAACTCGTACTGTCCACCCAGCCGCGTCAGTAATGATACACATATAACGAGAGAGCGTTTCCAATGTAGCTGACAGTTTGGAGGAGAGATATGTTAGACCAGCCGCGAAGGACATGTGCGAGTTTCCAGGCTGTGAAGCTCACTTAACATGCGAAACGGAATTACACGGATTTTGTGAATTACCTAAATTGTGGGTATCGTTCATGCTGGCATTCATGCCCTGGCCTGTGATTTATGAGATGAGTAATGACTGAGTATACAGACCGGGTGGAGGTGCGCTGACCAGCCTTCGGAGAGTGCGTATGGCATGCATCACCGGCGATGAATACCCTCTCGCGTACCGAGAAGCGAGAGGCGACACGTTGCCCGACTGAACCAATGTGAGCGACGTACAACAAAACACTTTGTGGAATAACCTACTGATATAAATCGTCCACCATTGGACGTCATGCAGTGTCGATATTGAATATGGATGAAAGGACTTCCTGGCGACTTCAAGCAGCCTCTGTGGTCCCATCTTATTCTTGTCCACTCGCCCTGTCTGGACATCTACAGCGTCCGTGTCTGCCAGCTGGATGTACAGACGCACGGTGTCCCCCTCGCGGGGAATGACCATGCAGGAGCCATTATTGGAATGAATCGCACATCGGTTGCGAATGTCAGGGAAGTCGGTCTCGGGAATCATGTCCACCACGCCCCAGATATAGTCTGTCACGTTTTGCCTTGAATGCGTTGGATTCGTTAAGTGCCTGGCTAACGCACCAGTTTGCTCTCCCTCCATCGCAATATCGAAGCTTTTGCGGACCCATGAGTGTGCGCCTGTGAACATAGGGTTCAAATATTCATTCCTCTTTCATGGGCCTCGTTATGCCTTACCATCCCCACCGACAACAAACTTTGCATGAACGATTTCGGTGTTAGGCTTGCCTTCAGGAACGTCTAGATGCTTGAGCACGACCTAAACAAAGGCGGTCAGTCCCGATGATTCGAACGCCGATCTGCATATGGAAAGTACCTTCACCGCGTGCATACTAGGATCTTTCAGGATCGCATCATCCTGAGAGAGCTCGATGGAAGTAGGCATGACAGGTCTCTCAACCTCAATGCCCAAAGAGGTCATTGAGTCTAAGAATATTGCTTCAATCGCCCCCTGATGCAGGGTAACCTTGAACGTGATGTCATGAGCCCGGTGATCTACGTTGCTTCTCGGACCCGCTGCTCACCTCGAATAGATACCGAGCGTTGGGAGCATTGATGTCTGGCGCTCGTCCAGTGCACTGTGAACATTCGGTTAAGGCGAGAGATATCGATGACAGATCGCAGCGGTACCTCGATTCCGCCGTCTATGCTTGGATTATAGAATGCCTGTACAGGCAAGTTGTGAGCGAAAGCATTGTCATGTGTGCGTGAATGCTTCATACAGCCGTATGCATTTGATTCCCCTCACGTAAGAGACGATCGGCGAGACCATAACTCTATCACGAATCTCATCAACTTCACGGAAGGAAAGTACTGTGGGTGCCAAACCTGGAATACTTCGATCGTTCGGGGCTGAATGCCATCCGCCTGTCCTGCTGCCACTTTCTTCGGCCTGTTACGCGGGAAAACATATGAGAACATCTGTGACTATTGCTGCGTGCGAGGTCTGCTGACCTTTGGTCTACAATCCTGACGTCCACCCCGGCCTTAGCCAGAGCGTGAGCACACATCAGACCAGCAGGCCCAGCGCCAATGACGAGCACATCGACGTCGCTTTCCTTGGTCAGAGGGATGGGCATTCTGAGATGCAAGACAAGCTGGGGGTATGTTACGTCTGGTGGGCACCCCAAGCATCGTCTTAATACCGCATAGGCTAAGGAGCCGGAGCTTCTGGGATGAGTGGTGTCATCTGAATTGCTCAGGTTAAGAAAATTCTGGCCGCTCCCAGGTCACAGGCGACATCACCGGACGTGATCCTGATGCAGCGGCGAAGAGCTAGTCGGATTTCGCCATGAGATCGGGCTAAGTCCGAGGTACTCTTCCGTGGTTGTAGCATCGCCTTTCAGGGTCAATCATCGCAGTGCTTTACGCATTTGGGCAACCGTCCACCACGCACCGTGGTCATATTAGGGGACGAACCGGCTTCCGCATAGTCATGTGAAGAACGCGGGTACAGCTGCAGACCAAAGACGGCAACTCCTCCAACACATTAATCTCCCTGACAAATCGTTCTGCCTACAAATTGTTGCATCGTTGCATTCGAGATGACTGCACTTAATCTGCAGACGGATGTGATGAGGCCTAGCCCGGAGATAGCGGCTCTAAATCAGCTGAGAAGAGCAAATGCAGAAAGCGTCGTGGAAACGGGAGTCGTGGTCGAGGGACGAGTGTGAATCTAGGTCTCAGGAGCAGTGAAATGTGCATACTGATCGACGTATTATCACAGGTTGAAGGGAGAATGAGAGCAAAGTGGGAGAACCCCTCCACTTCACTGTCATTAACAGCCGCTGAGTGACTGAACATAGGGACGCTCACTGTGCGCTAGATCCTTAATGCGCCGTGACTGCATGAAGCGCCGGATAACAGCGAAGGTCAGTCAAAATCGTATAGTTCTCCCGTATGCGTTTCCCTGTATTGTTCAGGGACGTTCAGGACCGCGAAAATGGCTTCGAAGCAAGCACTTTTGAAAAGATCGCGCAGATGGCAACCGTTGCATGAACAGCAGGAAGCAGGATCACACGTCTTGGACAAGTCGAACCTCGATGATGCGCACTGTACTGTGCAGAGAGGTAGAAGAATCATTCAATGTCAATTTCTACTTGACGGTCCTCGAGATGCCAGCTAGACGCCACGACAACAAGGCAAGGGAGTCGCTGAAGCGCGTAGTACATAACTGATTCGACACGTTCAAAGTGTGCACATGAAACCGACGGAATATCTCCAGAGGGTAGCAGCTGCAGTGGTGCAGACAATTCCAGAATAAGTTAGGGTGAATTTATTCTAAGTAACTTTATCGATAATAATTATCTCAGTTATCCAGTCAATGCCGAAGGCTCGGATTCGCCGTAGTGACCTGATCTTAGACCCTCTCTCCATGTTTTGTTCTGTGCTCTAGCGAAGGTCTGCATATCTAATCGACTTGCTTGGGTGTCACTTCTAGGGGGCTCATGCCCGGTCTCACTGTATTGTCGCCCTCGCCAGCCGCAGGAGGTTTCAGCTCGTCATACGCCAGGATGCAAAATGGATCACGAAAGGGAACCGTAGCAGAGATCAAAGAGGTCGCGAAGGAGCAGGCGCACCGAGTACGAGGCGCCTCTGCTATATCTCTGCTCGGAAGTGCTCGCACGCAGATTCAGCATGCGCAGGAATGCGAGCTGCACGGAGATCTTACGGGCGCACTCAGCGCACTTACGAAGGCTGCGTCGCTCGCACAGATGTTTATGGAGTCTTCAGAGTTCAAGTTGGAGATCCAGCCAGGGAGGAAGGGTGTGCTTGTAAAGGAATTCATGGATTTCCAGCAGGTATGTCACTGGCACAATCCATGGCGTCGTTTGTCTCACGGCACGGCAGCGAGAAGGATATGATTTAAAGGGCAAGGTGGAGAGCGTAGAGGCCAAGCTTATTGAAGCGGAAAAATCGTCACAGTACGTATCGCAACGTACACGAATATCCACAGCTCTTCACGATTCACCAGATCTAGCAGTGAGGTTGAAGCAGATGCTCCCCCACATGCGACTGGCGGAAGCATTGCCGACCGCATACGCTCGTTACAGAACACAGGACTTGCGGTTTCGACAACTAAGCGGCTTTCGCGCGAGGTTGCCCCTGCATCGCCCGCAGCTTCAACCGCAGCGCCAGCGGCAGACACGTCGGGTTCGCGCCCAAGTCCGAATGGCCGCACCGGCTCCACCATGCAGAACCTGCCTTCACCTGTGCTCGCAAGTTCCGTTGCGTCATCCTCGTCTCCGCATGCGCTAGTGCCAGCGTCGAGTCTCGGTCCGCCGTCGCCCTCGTCGAGTACATCATCATCGCCGCGGCTGTCGATCCTGAGCTTGTCCGACTTTGCACAGACGTTCCCATCAATCGACGAGCTCGACGAAGGTGAAGGGCCGCATATGCCGTCGGCGCCGTCTGGTACGGATCGAGGGCCTCTGTCGCCGTCGGCGCATTCGAAGCCATTTCCCGCGCTTCCGATGGATCCTGGCCCTCGCCCATCGAGCACGCCGATCCCACACACTATTGACACGTTCATCAGCCGGCCGGCGTCGCCCGTGCGGACGCCGCTATCGCCCAGCGTGCCCAGGAAGCCGTCTGGCCTCTCGCTCAGGTCGTCGGCGTCGAGGTCTCCTGTCCTGCCCGCAGCGACCCCGGTTGCCCAGAAACCGCCAGAAATACCCGTCACGACGACATTATTTCCCAAGGCGCTAATGGATTATAGGCAGCGAAGCAACTACACGGTGCTGCTGCTGGACGTGCGGACGCGCGAGGAATTTGAGAAGGAGCACATCAAAGCGGATGCGGTCGTGTGCATTGAGCCATCAGTGCTTCTCCGATCAGAGTGGGTGACTGTTGTCTGTCATAGGCGATTCCGTATCTGATGCGATAACGAATAGGGTCACTTCGATGACTATCGAGGATTCGCTGGTAGTAGCGCCGCGCAACGAGGCTATGCTCTTCTCGAACCGTAACAAGTTCGATCTGGTGGCTATGTACGATGATGCATCAGAATCCTTTGGCGACGCGAGCACATTCATGTCCGTTCTTGCACGAGCGATATACGAGATGGAGTTTCGCAAGATTCTCAAGCATCCTCCCATGATTCTCGTCGGTGGGTTGCAGGCGTGGAAACGCGAGATGGGGGAGGCGGAGCTGATGAGGGGTGCAACCAGTGTGTCTTCAGGAGGAGTGAGCGCCGCAAGTTTGGCGAACGGGCCGGCCACCACGCACGTCAACGGACTATCATCTCCCACCATTGCCTCGTACTCCACAGCGAAGAGTCCAACTCTGCCCGGCCACATTCGTTCCGCTGCAGAATCGACGATGATTTCTAGTGCATCCGCTTCCGGATTTGAGCATGCAGGACGACACCGGACTGGCATGGAGTCGTCGATGGAGGTCGGTGCGTACAAACCTTGGGCTCCGACTAAGCCTAACGGAGACGATACCGAGAACTACTCGCCTGTGCCGTTCCGGTACGTGCCGTCTACTATTTGCATCGACGTCGCCGTGATTGTTGATGATTTTGCGCTTATAGATCGGGCATGGACTCACCTCTCTCACCGACGTTGGCGTCATCCGTGCGTCTGGTCCATAAGTCACCAGCGACTCGCCCTGCCTCAAGTCCCGTATCTTATCCATACAATGCCGCGCCCCCAATACCCGAAAGCGTACGTATCGTTTTACTGGGAGCATTGTTTGTGCATTGACACTCGTTATGTCCAGCCTGCTGCACAGCACACTAGTTATCCCCACATGAACGGGACGTCGTCCATTCAATACCCAAGCGTTGCACGCAATATATCCCCGCAGATATCCGGAACGTCCTTCTCTTCGTCACTACCCGCACTCAATGGCATGACGCCGGTGCCGCTGCCACCGCAGGCTTCGATTCATCCATCTCCTCTGTCACGGCGCAGGAGCGACTACACGGATCAGTCTCAGGAAGCGCTCTCCGGCATGGCTGCGCGCACGCCTATAGACTACCCTGATCTTCCTACTCAGCATGTCCTCAGGCCGCCACCGGCGGCAGCTGCCTCGAGCCTGGAGAGGCAAGATAACCGGCCGCGATTGATGCAAAGCAAGTCGTATTCGATCGCTCAGGCTGGGCCGAAGCCGCCGGCCATCCGATCGGATTATCCTGTTACCTATTGGTCCGACATCCAGATTGGTACTTCTGGCCTGAAGAATCTGGGCAATACCTGCTATATGAACTCGACCATCCAGTGCTTGAGTGCTACCGTACCATTTGCGCGGTTCTTTACTGGTAAGTGCATTCGTGCTAAGCGGGCATCGTTTGATGCTCATGCATTCCATAGATGGTCGGTGGAAGAGTGCCGTCAACATGGTAAACCCACTGGGCACCAAGGGCAACCTTGCGCTGACTTTTGCAAATATATTGCGAGAACTATGGCAGGGTGATGGACAGTGCTTATCCCCAGTGACCTTCCGCGTAAGTAGAATCTCTAGCAACAGAACTACGCGTAGAACTCACAATCCTTTGCAGCGGTCCTTGTGTCAATATGCTCCACAGTTCGGAGGTTCAGAGCAACACGATTCTCAAGAGTTCCTGAACTTCCTGCTGGACGGTTTGCACGAAGACTTGAATCGCATCCTGAAGAAACCCCAGATCGAGACGACCCCTGAGCGGGAGGAGCAGCTCGAGCGGCTTCCTAACCAGATCGCAAGCGAGCAGGAATGGCAGATCTACCGCATGCGGAACGATAGTCTTGTGGTTGACTTCTTCCAGGGGCAGTTCCGCAATCGGATGGAGTGCATGCACTGTCACAAGGTACGAGTGGTGCACGTTGTTGTGTGAACGTGCAGAAATATCTGACTGTCGATACGTAGACGTCGACGACATATAATACGTTCATGTACCTCAGTTTGCCGATTCCAAGTGGCCGGGCGTTGTCAAAGGTCACACTGAAACAATGTTTAGATTCCTTCGTTAAGGAAGAAGTCATGGAGAAGTCGGAGGCCTGGTAAGTCCGACGTTATGCCGTATTATGGACGTCATGTTCATGTGAAATAGGAATTGTCCACATTGCAAGACGCTGCGGAGGGCGACGAAGAACCTTTCATTGTCTCGGCTACCTCCTGTTCTTCTGATTCACCTGAAGCGCTTCTCCTCGAAGGGTCACTTCACAGATAAGATTGAGACATATGTTGACTACCCGTTGCGAGGGCTGGACCTTACCAACTATATGCCGCCTCCGCTCCCTCCCGGCATAAACGCTGGACCCCAGCTTTCTCGGGAGGATCCTCGAGCACAGATACCCCCATACAGATACGATCTGTACGCCGTGACGAATCACTTCGGGACGTTGAGTAGCGGTCATTGTGAGTCGTAGGCGTTTCATTCTCTCTGCATAACTCAAAATCTCGCCCAGATACTGCTTTCATTGCTTCGCGCGGTGGATGGTTATACTGTGATGATAGTCGTATTTCGCATGCCGACCCCAAAGATGTCGTGGTAAGTTTCCGATGCCGTAGTACACAATGCGGAAGTCTAATCCCTGAGCCAGGGAAAACCGGCCTATATGTTGTTCTACAAGAGGACTCGGTCTTAAATTACTACAGATATCTACTTGTTCCATCTTCTTTTGACTTACCGGTCTCTGCTGTCAGTTGTACATTTGACACCCACTCTGCATCGAACAGCTTCTATACAACAATAGTACATGTAATCATATAGGTAACATCGGATCTTATGCGGACACCATTCCGTTAGTAACGACATGGTTCTCCCTAGTCTCGACGAAACATTGGTGGCACAGCCATGTCCGTCCGCCCGACTGTCCCTGTGATGAGGAAGATCCGCCCTTCGAGGGCATCGCGTGGAAGAATGGAGAGAACTCGCTATGACAGTGATAACATTGAGGTTCCGCAGTTGTCAAGTCGCCGTCGCCGGATATGGTAGATAGACTGTCTGCTCCGGCGTTGAGGATGTTGTCGAGCCGCCGAGCCTTGCGAAGCAGACCATGTGTCTGTTCCGTAGGGACCTGCTTGTAGTTCTTGCAGTACACCTGCAGTGAGGTCTGGAATGCGAATCAAGACTGAGCGCGACAGAGGAATCTCATAACGTACCTCGCCAAGCTCATTGGTTTCACATAGGTCGAATACCTCCCGTTTATATCCCATGTGCCCTTTGCAGATCACGACGGGCACCATGCAGCCAGCGCTATCCTTAAACTCCACCATCGTGGTGGTCTCTCGCTTACTATGCTTCACCTGTGATGATGTCAGAGTGATCCGACGGCGCTCGCCAAATATCGACTTACCGGCTGCACCTCAAAGCCGAACTTGTGTCCCTGCCTCCACGCGCAAGACACGTGGTACTCTGCTGGACATTCACTGCATCGTATCACCGCCCCTCCGCTCTGATTGCAGATCGTGCATTTCTAGGGCGGACGTCAGACGTCAACCTTGTGCGAAGACGACGACGAAGGCTACATACATTTGACCACCTCCACGATGGTATTGTGCTGATACCCTCTACCAAGCGCAATCGCGTAGCATCCGAATACGTCACCTCAGGGATGAACACTGAGCATACGATATGAACCCAGGCCTGCCCCTCAGTCGGCTTGCAAGCTCGCAGGTATGTATCAGGAGGTGGATACAGGGCCTTCTTCGAGTCTCGCTTGCTTCGTGGGCAGAGCAGACAGTCCGAATTCTGCAGGGGATCAGGAACGCGACGAGGACCGAGATAACACTGACGTACCAGTGAGGCCTCCAACGTCTTCTCGTTTGCACAAAGCTCACACACCCACGACTCCACCTCTTCCGCAGATTCCAACACAGCACCGCATGATCCTGAGCAAAGGGCATTTTAGAACCGTCGATAGCCATGCGACGGCGATCATTAAAGGCCATTGAATCGGGTCCAACATACCTGCATGAACACGGAATTGACACTGCTTGCACTTCAGTACCTTGCCAATTGGTCCGTTCTTCTGACATGCGAGACAGCGCAGCTGCGGAACAGGAGCCGGACCAGCGGGCGGAGGCGTCGAGTGAGACGAGGAAGTAGTCTGCTCCAAGCCTTAGCCTCCTACGGCGCGGCAGTATTAGACCGGAACTGACCTTAGCACGTTTAGCGGTGTGACCATTGAGAGGCGTCCCTTCCCGCTTGTCGTTCTTCGACTTCGAGATCGTCTCTTCGCGAAACGGCCTCACGTTCAGATCGGCGTATTTGCGCCAGCTCATGCCGCAGTTATCGCAGAGAACGTTGGTCGGCAGGCCCTTCGGTGCTTTCCACCACCACTCTGATTCTCGGGTACGACAGCAACCGCAGTACGTATTGCCTTTAGTCAATTGCTTGACGACAGAGCCTTCGTCGTCTGGAGACGCAGCACGGGAGGATGCTTGCGGCTTTCCACTGAGGCGGGCGGCCCTAATCCTCGCGTTCTCCTCGCCAAGCTTCGAGCTGGTAAGAGGGTCAGATAATGTGAGAAAATGTACAGAGAAGGAAACCAACTTCTTCCAATGGCCATAAAAGCGGACTGTTTCGGGCATGGTCCTCGTACCGACCTCGTCCCTAACTGGACGCAGTTCAGCCCCGTGGGTTGCGATGGCATCCTCGAAGGCGGCTATTTCGACGTTCGTCCACTCCTTATCGATGTACCTTGTTTCCGCTGTCTTCCACTACGAACGAGCTGCTCAGCCACAGGTCGGCGCTAGGGATGCGAAAGCTGACCTTTTGCACCCGCATTGGGTTCTTCATGGAGACGGTGGTGAGATCTCGGTGAGCGAGCCATGCGTCCGTGAAGCGGAACATCACTTCGGTTAGCCAATCCACGCTGCATTTCAGCGTGTCGTCCTTGGTAAGAGTGCCCCTGTGCTTTTCCACTGGATTTCTACATCAGTCACTGTTGGGAGATGTGGCGTGAGGCGACCTACGTGTGGAAACTGGAGACAAATAAAGATAAGCAAAAGTGAATCCACCCAGAAAGGCATATTCCCACGCACCTTCCTCCGAACTCATGTCTTGGACGAGGCAGAGCACTTCGATGGTTGCATCACCACCCCTTTCCTCGATGCCTGCATTCGAAGTTGAGAAAACAGCCTTTGAGACATTGCTCCACTGACCTGGGATTGGGATATTCTCAACGCCTGGCGCAAGAGGAACATTTGCCTGGTATTTCGGACCCACCCGTGTCGTAGCGCGTGGGAAGATGAGGTCGTCGGGGTCTGATACTGTATTTTAGGGTGTTTCCGTAAAGCATCGTGATGGGACTGACCAAGCGTGTCTTCCGCGACTGTGTACTGCCTGCGACAGGTCTCATCAGCGCCAAGTCATCAGACAGGCAGGCCAAGCGTACCCAAAATATCGAAAAGGCCACATCTTGAAGTGCTTGATTTCCATGTTCTCCTCCTTCTCCGCCTGCATGCGGTCCTTCCGCGGCCGACCTCGGCCTCTTGCGGGTGGCGCATTACTCTTGTTGTTGTTTCTCGGCGCTATTGCCACTATTTGGCGGTATCCTTCGTGGCTGTCCACCTCTTCCTCGTGTTTGCGAGAACACGGCGCGCAAGTCCAGCCGTAGCCTCGACTCGGCTTGGCAAGGAGAGGAGGATTGACACAGCTCATATGGAAAAACTTCTTACACCTGTCGCATTGCACGGTCTCGGCTCTGTATGTGCCGTGTTGAGCTCTCATCAGCATCCCCAGAGTTACTGTAAAATGAACACTTACGGCGCGCACCACTTTGTGCACGTCTCACAGGTCCTGAGCGTGTCAGTGAGGTCGGGTACAACTTCCTTTTCCGCCACTACGTATTCATATCGTTCAACCAAAACCTTTCGAATATGTTCTGGTACTGACTCCTGTGTCAGAAAGCGGCACGCTACTGGTGTGAACAAATACGTACAGTTCCGTACGATAGTCGATGGTATCACTTCGAATTCTTTCCGGATCCACGGGTCGAATAGACGGGTGAAGTAAAATCTGTCGGGGCGTTTCTTCCAACCAGCCAAATCCGAGATTTTATCTCGGTGTAGGACGTAGCATTTGCCACGAATTTGGCTGAGATCGCAGACCTCGGAGAATATTGCGGCGAGCAGGAGGCGGCAGTCCGCGCTCGCGCGATCGCTCACGTCGCTGGGACGATAATACCATGCTAGACGAACACGGGTAAAAGGTTGACTGGGGTTTCCGTCCTTGTCGAGAGTTGGAATTCCCTGTGCGGGCAGGAATTCCATGATACGAGCCACGGAATACGGAGTGCCATCTCGAATTGACCAGCTGGGAGAGCAATAAACGTGGTCTGGGGAAAAATCAGCGCTCGCCAGTCTTGGATAGAGCATATTGGGCAGGATTACCATTAACTTTCACCGCATCACCATTTTTGAGGCTGATGTAGAAGGGCGAGGGGGAAGGTGGCATCGTTAGCGCTGGCGAGAATGGCACGAATTCGACGGGCAGGGAAAATACGGCCTCCTGGACCGATTAAAATAGGCGAAGCAGCTCTCGAAGCTGATGCCCAAAAGAGCAGAGGGGTGGGAGTATTTTCCGTGAATGTGGGAGACGCTTGCGTGGTGGGGGTATGAAGGTGAGATGCGTACTTGCGGGCTACTGAGGGAGCCGGACCTGTTCACTGAACCTAACGAGATAAAACTCCGACGATCTGTGCGCGGAACCACCTCGAACGACTCCTCCTGCCTTTCCTCCATCCTCTCACCCAGTTTTCCACTCCCTTCAATCGAGGAGACTCATAGAACATTCATTACGAATTTCTCAAAATTTCGTGCGGTCTCGACGAGTGCGGAGGGAACCCGCTGACCATCGGGCGGCGCCACCGCTGCCGGGTTCGCAGCGCATTGACCTCGCGAATTACAAACCGGTTGCCTTTCTTGTTGTCTGTGAACCCGCCTCCCTGTCCATCGCGCTGAATAATCTAGCCCGACACTTTCACAGACGATAGCTCTAAGGCTGTTGAGTGTGGAATTAACCAGAATTTTCTGCATTGACAGAGACCACACGAGCACTTCACCCCCACCTCCCAGAAGGCGGCGCTTCTTTCTGTGGCAACTCATAAACCACAGAATGGGTTCGGCAATCACCGAAAGCAGGCATCCTCGAAGGCCACTGGCCTAACTTAACGCTGTCGGACTCGCTTCGACTGATTCATGGCCGACATTTCTCTAGACGAAAACCAGTCTGAGCCTTTCATCACTTACGAGTTGATGCCACATTGATTGCTACCCACGGCCACATATCAGTACCCGTCTGATATGCTCGCGTCACTCAGGCTTAGGACCGGCATCGCTCGCCGATCGGCCAATGTTGGGCGGCTGGCCGCCGGAAAGGCCTAGAGCGACCGCTATCTCGGTTGCAGAAAGCATTCTCTGGCACAAACCTATCTGTGAGGAAACCACAGCCGTAATCAAAGACAGCTGGCAGGCGGAAAATAGTCGGTCATGCTCGTAGCCAGGACGGGGAATGCATATTTTCAGCTTGTATCATGTGGCACAAACAAGAAGGTATCGTAGATTCTATTTTGGAGCACTAAGGCAGGGTGGTATCGACTGAAAGCTAATATTATAGGCGACGCAGCAGGGTATTCGTGTGCATACGGAGGATGGATGATACATCGATACATGGTCGTTATAGATGACTTGACGTACGTTTAATGCGGCGGATGCGGTCCGTTCGGCGATAGCGAGGACCAACTGTACAACATGCCGGAGTCCCAAGATATAACAAACCTCAGAGAAGAAAGACGCCATGAAGCCATAATTGCCGCTATGGAGGCCGTGGCGGTCGTGGCTGTTCCGTGATTGATGATGCTCGTTGTTGCTTTCGTCGCTCGTCCGCGATTGCGAGCATGCTCTGCAAGCTCTTTTCAAGCACAGGTTTCGTGAGAACGCTGCGACATGCCAACCGAATAAGCAATCAAAGCTTGTAGGAGAAGAAAGCCGAGCACATACTGATCAGCCCCAGCCTCGAGGTATTCTTGCTGGTCAGAGAGCAGTGCGTTACCTAGACGACGAAGCGCATCAAGAATTGCAATGGACGCAAACGCATGAAACTACGTGCCAGTAACACCAACGACAAAGTCACGCCTACCCATCTCTCGTAATCGCCCGACCAAGTCCAAACCAGACAGAACCGGCATCTGGTTATCGAGGAATACCACCGAGTACCGATACTCGTCCCCTGATGGCGGCTCGGCATCTATTGATAGGCCAGTGCTGCCGGTGTCTTCGGAGGACGGCGTTGCGTGCTGTCCGTTCTGCTCGGTTCCCAGAATCATCTCCAGCGCTATCTCCCCGTTCTCCGCAGTTGCCACCTTGCAGCCGATGCGTGTGAGCATCCGCGACATCAGCAGGCGCGTGAGAGGGTCATCGTCTACCACGAGGACCTTGAGAGGAGCCTCCTGCTCGGCTGAAGAGCCTGCCGCGCCAGCTCCGGTAAACGATGCTGCAGATGATGGCGCTGGCGACGGCGGAGGATTAAGGGAAGATGCCTGCGGTCCTAGCAGCTGTGATAAACGCGGGCGAGTAGTCGCCGACGAACTATCTTTGCTCAAGAGGGGCGGTTCCAAAGCTGTCGGCGTTGTGATGTCCCCGACAATAGCATGAGTCCCCGTGGACGGATCGCCAATGGTTCGTGTGAGTACAGGAGAGCGTTCGCCGCGCTTCGTGGAGATCTCGACCAATCCGCCTACGAGACTGCATCAGGCTGCCTCACATGACTTCCCAAATCGTACATGCTCACCTTGCTCCATGATACTATGGAGCGCAGAGGACGAGCGAGACCCCTGAGACTGAGCTTGCAGCGCAGCATGGAGCTCGGGGTGATCTGGTAATATATCGGCTTGTGTGATACAACTTGGAGGCATCGTTCTGGTCGCGCTCGATGGGGTGCCGAAAGCATCAGCGTGCAGTTCCGCCGGCATCATAAGCGCCGGTATGGCTTTGATTCCCACTCCAAGAGCTACATATATGCGTGATCAATCATCGATAATATACCATCGAGCCGAAGCTACTCACGCAATTCGACCCAGAAGGTGGACCCTTGGCCAACCTTGGACTTCACGCCCAGTCTGCCGCCGGTAAGCTTGACGATCTGGCGGACGAGAGCCAAACCAAGTCCCGTGCCTTTGCCGCCTTTTGCGAAACGTCGAATGTCAGGATCTGTAATGTGACGTCAAACAGTACTGAGCTGCGTGCCTTGCAATCTGCCCTGCTCCGTCTGGTTGAAAGCGCCTGGGAAATCAAGTGTCAACGCCACCCGTCAGGCACTGTGTCTGACACAACTTACTGAAAAGCTTGCTCTGGACCATGTCTTTCGGCCGTATGCCGTAACCCGTGTCAGACACCTCGATTCGCACGACAATCCATTCTAGAGAGGGTGGCTTGGAATAGACGTTATTATGCTGCGTGAGATGCGTAGCCGACAACCGGTGGGGAATTGGTGGAGATTGTCCTTCTTTATATTTCTTGCCTGCCCAGCCGCGGTTAGACTTTCGACACAAGGGAATACACTAATATCTACCTTCCCACTGAGCAGACTCAGGCGGCAGAGAGGTCATTGGACGCCCGCTTTCTTCGCTCGGCCGTCTGCCAATGTCATCCAAACTCGCATTGTCTTCCGGTGACTCCATTTGCGGCAGGATCAACCGTGTCCGGATCGTGAGCTTTCCTCCGGCCGGAGTGAACTTGCAAGCGTTACTGAACACGATTGCAAACCATTCTGATTCAGCGTCTGCTACCTCGCATGGCAACTATTACATACCTGGCGAGGTTGGTAATGATTTGTCGGAGACGCGTCTCGTCTCCAACTACGAAACCATCTTCATCCGGTTGTTCCCGTATGCGCTTATCGATGACGGCCTGGCTCTCTCCTAGAGCGTCATATAAGGCTCTGCGTGCAACCTGAGGAAGAGATCGATGCGCGTTCAGCGGCATAGCTAGGGGCGAATGATGGATCATAAATGAAGTGCCCTTACATCATCGACATTCTTGTCAAGTTCAGTAACAAACTCCAGGCCGCGAGCATCAGTGGCCAATTGCAGAGGAACAAACATAGATCGCATGACTTGGTGGAACGAATACGGCTGCCGCACCCACTTCAGATACACACAAAATCGGCGTGTGCGAGAACTCACTTTCAGAACAAACTCAAAACGCCCACTGTCCATGCGGTTGCTATATTCTTGTCAGTGCGCGGTGCTTACGGGGAAAGATGGCTACTCACAAGTCGAGCACATCGTTCAGAACTGGACAAACCAGTTAGCGGGGAAAACCGTATGTGAAGCAGGCAGCCGACCTTTGGACATCATGCTCAGGCTGCCCTCCAGCGCGTTGAACTCGATATCTTGCGATCTTGCAATCGAGCCGTTCGCTTCCATATTCTGCACAGCCAACACTGCCGACGAAGCGTAAGTAAAAATCGTACTCAATCTAACAAGACAACCTACACGCCGTATTTAGTGGAACTCGGACCTGTGCAATCACAAACATCAATAAGCAACGGTACCAAGAAGAGCCTAAAAAGTCACTTATCATGGAATACATAACTTTCAATCAAATTTGTCAGATAAGGGAAGAGACAGCTCAGTTGGAGAACTTACGAGGTGAGCCGACGCTTCGAGTCAGCCGCTTTACGCTCGTTGACTTGTGCCTTCTGGGTAGCTCTAAATTGGATCTTGAGCTGATCGCGGAGCGTGTACAGGCGCCGCTCTGCCTAATTACTCCGTCAACAAGAATAATCCATCGCAAATGAGCGCGAATGCTCACGTTCTCCCGCGTGTAATGAATGTAGAGCAAGAAACTTTGGAATAGCAAGAAATTGATCAGATCTATCAGAATGTCAGAATGGCGGCGCCAGGGGCCCGGAGGACCGGAACATGATACACTTACTCCGGATAAAACTTGGATGATACGGGAGAGTCAAGGAACAAGCACTAGGCGAAGATTATCAGCGTTACGGCCGCCGAGCTAATAATGGACGTACATGATGAAAAATATGAAAGCGCAGGTTGCAGCAGGGATGCGGTTTAATTTAAGACCAAACAATCCAACGGTTTGGAGAGCGGACGTGTAGCTGTATATTGTGAGTGATCTGTACGACCGCTAAAGGCTGAGATACTCACTAGAAGAGTGTCAAAAAGTCCTTGTTTCCTTTATTAAGGAGCGCCGGTGAGCCATAATAGCCGACAATATACCTGTGGAGAGGCGAGATATCTTAGCTCGTAGTCCATCTGCGAGGCGCAACCTCTGCTTACATCAAGATGATCTGGTATATAGCCCACATCCAGGTTGCAAAAGATAACCAGATTTGATAGAAGATCTCCCGGTCTCGAGGGAAGTCCCACATGACAAATGCCAGTACTGGGAAAGTAATAGCGGGCGAGACCTAAGGCGACAACTTTCGTCACACGAACGTCAAGTATGAGGAAAATCAATTTACCCCATAATAGAAGATCTTGTCTGCTAGGGTGATCGGCTTTTGGAGCTGGAGAAATCCAATAGCCAAGACCCAGTTGACAATGAGGAACGCCGAAGACCAGAAAGCTAGGTTCTGAAAGCAAGCTATATAATGCTAAGCGCATATAAATTCGTTACATTAGCGTACCTTTCGAAGGAACCAATTTTCCTTGATATAATGCATCTCTGCCTTCTCATTCTCGAAATGATTGATGAAAAAGTCATGAATGACTGGCCACACACGATAGCGCAAGAACAGGAGGGGTTGAATCGTCCAGAAACCGGTAGCTTGCAGAGCGAGACTGTCTCTGTCGGTGTTCGTGCCGCCGAGCTGGTTGCTCGATTTCTCCGCCGGTGCACCGCCATGCTCGGAGTGTGTCATAGAAGAGCTCTTGACCTCATCCGACCACTCGCGGTCCACAACCACCTCATCTACCACCTCATCGTCCGTATCCCCCTGTGTCTCCAGATGCCTCAAGTACCCATGGCGGTAGCTGTCTCCGCTATCATCATGTTCCAGGGCGGACTCCGACGTAGAAGGCGCGGTGCCGTTGCCTATCCTCCGTTTGAACTGTGCCCAATGCACGCGAAGGCCGCCATTCACCCGTGCATTTTTCCTATTTTTACTTCGCCGGCCCAATGACGGGGAGGGTTGGGTGACGGGGGTGGGGAGGAGGGGCTGGACGGTGGCATTTGAATTGACAGGAGCGGTGTTCACGGCGCCCGTGTCCTTCTCCGCGCTGGACCTGCCAATGTTGGGCAGGGGGACCTCGTCTCTGCCGTCAGCGGTGGTGGCCAGGGATCCGCGAGAATGAAAGAGCATCGTAGGGAACTGCGCGGTCGCTGCGCGCGACGGAGAGGGGAGTAGTTGACCACGGCGTAGACGCTGGAGGAAGAGCAAAGTGTCACGGACATTTCTATATTCAATGCTTCCGCACAGGCACCGCGAGGCGCTCGGCGTTGCCCCACGACGGCCAAATTGTCTAACTGAATCCTCCCTGGTAACATTTGTGCCGCGCCATCGGATCGACCGGCATCCCTGCGTCCAGACAGAAAGAGGCAGCGCATTTCCATTTCGGGACTTATCCAGCATCGTTGAATTTCAACTTCGCGGAGATAAGTCCCTCAGGCTTATGACGTCACGTAACATGTACACGTCGGGGCGGTTCACACATGCATGCGCCCTGCGGCTGAGATGCATCAGGCGGTCCAGCTCTCTCTAGGCACGTCGCTGCGCCGTACATTAAGCGACGCCTCGCTTGGGTGCCAACGCCAGCCTGTCACCATACGAACGCTAAGTCCGCACCGTGCGCACGAGTGCGACGCCATTCAGGCGTGCATCTCTTCAGCACAGGCTGGACTTTTGTCGAGCGGGGTCTAGATCTGGAGTCGTTTGCGGAAACAAACAGCGGCTGCACTTGTAACGGACGTCACCGCTGCCGACGTCGCACTCGGCAGTGAGGCGAGAGCTCGACCAAGCATCTTCGCTCCAGTGGGTTGATAGTACCTGATCGGATGTCGCGAAGCCATAGCAAGCTCGATCCGGACCCCTATGAATCTTCTGCAGAACTTCCAACACTTTCAAGGTATGTGCAGCAGAATACATACTGCTCATCACGTTGTGGCCCGCATATTTCCACCGATATGATGTTCGGGTCCTCGGGATTTTGAAACACCTGGTACGCCGAACATTGCTCGTCGTCATCAGCTCTGGCTCTATTCAGAATGGCGCTGAATCGCAGTGTTCGTCAGCGTCACGTCAGTGGCCGGTAAATCCCAGATGACTAGTATTGCATGCGTCCGTGCCGCATGTTTAACGTCAGAATCAGTCGAGCATTCTGGCCAGCAGTGGCAGATATCTAGCCGTGCAGCATCATAAAATCGGTACAAAGAAAGGATATTTTCACCAAACAAGAGGTGGATAGGCCATGACATCGACGAGCCGGGCAAATGGCGCTCGCGGACCTGTGAGATCGCCGATTTCCTCGATCAGAGCTTCCGTGTGGAGGGATCGTAGTTTCCGGATTGTTCGGACACGCTGACTAAGCAACCTGAGTGCGATCAGTAAGCCGAGGCATGCCCGACCTCATCATTCGTAACCTTTGGAGTGTACGTGTCCGTGTGCACAGCCGCATTCATCTTTTACACCATACCACCACATACCCATCGTACATCATGTCTTCTAGCGATACTTCACCTATAGAGATTACCGTGACACATCGGGGCGTTGCACACCGCCTCTCACTTCTGCCGGATGATACTATGACTGTCCTACAAGCTCGTCTTGAAGAACTCACATCAGTACCCCCTTCCCTTCAGAAGCTGCTTTACAAGGGAAAGAAAGCCAACATTAAGGACGATGTTACCCTCACGCAGGCCGGTCTGAAGAACGGGATGAAAGTGCAGATGCTCGGGACCACTTCGGAGGAGTTGGGCAGCCTGCGGGCTGTGGAAGACGAGCGTGCAAGGAAAGAGCGCATCATGCGAGAAAGAGCTAAGAAAGCACCCGTAAAGGTACGCCAAATATATTCATATAACATCTGTGGCGTTTATACTGAACAAATTGTCCGATTGCAGGTCCGCTCCACCGGCTCGTCATCCTCATCAGCCTTAAACTACAGATTCCACCGCATAGAACCCCTCGCGCATCTCCCGGAGCCACCCACTGCTACCGCCTTCCTCACGCGCCTCGCAAATGACCCTGCCATCCTACACGTCATGCAGAAGCATCAGTTCTCCGTGGGCGTCCTGACCGAGCTCGCGCCACATGAGCAGCCTGGCTTGCTCGGCCTCAACGTAAATGCTGGACAGGCGATCAAGTTGAGGATACGCACGGATCGCTACGACGGATTCCGGCTCTACAAGGACGTGCGGAGGGTGCTCTGCCACGAACTCACGCACAACGTGTGGGGAGATCATGATAATAACGTACGTGCCATCTCTTATATTCTGACCCATCTCCTTCTGACACGCTTTGAAGTTCAAGGAGATGAACTCGATGCTGAACCGAGAAGTAGTCGAATTCGAGCGCTCGATGGCAGAAGGCACGCATCGCTTCATCGAAGGTGGCGTATATCAGCCCTCTTCCGAGCTCGAGCTTGAGGCGGAAACGTATTTACTGTCAGAGGGCCCTCAGGTGCTAGGAGGGTCTGTGTCTGGAGGGGTGGCGGACGAGTCTCGGGAGGAGAGACGGAGACGGATGTTAGAAGCAACAATGAACAGGCTACGCAAACAGGAGGAAGAACTGGAGCACCAGTGTGGGACTGCAGGTCAGTCCAGGACGTGATTATAATGTATGCAGTATGTTTCGTAATAGTGTTTGTTGGAATGAAGAGGCTTCATTGCTGTTTTGTTGTAAAATGACTGAAACGATATGGCCACGTACAGGATCGAACCCACGACCGAGACATTGCAATCACGAGTCACGTGATAATGTATCATTTAGCAAATCAATATTTATGACAGGGCTAATAAGTCATTCCGGCATCTGAACTTGGCCTGAACCCAAACCGCTTACACTTTCCATCCATTTACACATCCATGACACCCAGAAAACATAGCTTGGAAGGCGACGCCTCCCCGCCGTTGAAGCAGGGAAAGCTCAGCTTCCGGTCCTCGAAGCGCGCTGCATCGACAGGCAGCGCAAACTCGGCGAAAGGCAAAGGCTCTCGACCTGGCCTCAAACGTAGGCTCTCGTCCATTTCGACTGTCATTCCAGAGGTCATTGAGGCCTATGATACTGAGCCCAGCGAGGCGAAGTCTGTGGATGAACATGAGAGCGCCATCGAGGTCAGCTCCAGCGAGGAAGACGGCGGGAAGCGCCTGCGGGGACGGGCCGCTCGTAAGGAGGATCATATCGAGGAGGCGGAAGAGCCGATGACGAAGCGGAGGCGTCTGAGGAAGGACGTGTTTGGCTCGCGAGAGGGCTTGGAGAATGCACATGGTCATAAGCAGCCGCAGGCGAGTCCGGCGAAGAGGGGGAGGAAGAAGGGCAAAGGCAAAGTCGTGAAGGGGAAGAAGTTGGAGGAAGAGGAGGAAGAGAAGGAGGAAGTGGGTAACGAGGAGGAAGTGGAGGGCGGGCATTTGAATGTGAAGCACAAGAAGTGGAACAAACTCTATGGCGAGGTGAGGGAGAAGAATAGTCATTTGGAGTTCGGTGAGTGCCTGTGCCTTCTGTTCCCCTTTTCATATGGATATATGCGCCATCAGTAGCGCAGGTCCCACGATGAATGCCTCATTTTTTGTCGACCGATGCGGTTGTACAACTTCCCTAGCTGGCTATATGCTCGAGGTTCTGCCTAAGTCGCGGTGTGGGGATGTTATGTACATCGTTCGTCACTAGATTGGCCTCGCGCCCTTGGTACTGTCATGCAATCCGCAACACATGCTGATTCCTTTCTACGTAACAGTGCATGGCGAGGGATTGAATAAGGTCGATCATATCCTGCGTATGTTTGACCTGTACGTCCATTGTGTTCACATACCTGTATTTTACGCTGATTGTCTTTGGTCTAGTACGTACGACTTCGGTCCATGCATCGGCGTGACTCGCCTGCAGCGTTGGCAGCGTGCAGAGATGCTCGGCCTGAAACCTCCACCGGAGGTGCGTATTCCCTTTCATATCGTTGCTTCCGTATCTCACCATTGCGCACGTGTCTGCCGCACTGCAGATCAAGGAAATATTGCTGACGAAAGAAGGCAGCGAGGAGCCGCGCTATAGGGAATGTGTCTTCTTCGGCGAGGTCTAGTTCCGACTGTTCGCCTCATCTGCGTCTCGCTTGCACTTCCTCCGCTTGATGCTTCTCTCTCGGACTGCTCTGCTCATGCTCTTTGTTGTCTCCGCACTGCTGCTTCTATTACCCTATCCTACGTCAATGCTACCTGGTCTGTACGATACGGAATACTATTGACATTGCGGTCCCGAGGCTCTGTTCCCGCACTTCCCTTATCTGTTCTGAATTACATCAAACGGCGCGTTGCTCTCATGGCCGCAGAGCTGCGATGGGAGGATATTCTTAGACAGCTAAGTATAGCTCCAGACGCCCGCGTGAACACACGACCGTGATTGATGGCTGCTCTGATCTAGTGAGACACCTTGTAAATGTCCCCCGTGATGCCATTCAGCGTCGCTGCCTGCTCCAGGGTTGCTGCGTGCGCCTAGGTAAAGATACAATCTTCTTCTTCCCTTCTTAGCATGGCAACCTCTCCCTCTTCGCTCCTCGCACCACCTCTGCGCCCGTCGCTGACAAAGCTGTGCGAATGTCCTACTTCTCGGATAGCTCGAGCTCCTCGGACGACTCTTCGCTAGACCACAACCACACCCGTACTACTCGCGCTTCTGCTCAAATGAGCCAACCTACCCGGCCTCTGGCAATCTCGACTGACGAGACGAAGGGACCGTCGAACAGCGACCGCGCAGCAGCAAAGTCCGTCAAATCAACGAAGTCTGCCGCTCCGCTCACGACCGAGGCGACACCTGCATCTGAAACGCCAAAGCAGCGCTCGAAGGCCAGTGTGCACCGTCCGACTCCGATGTGGCGGGCGCCCGCAATGAGGATGGGATCGCATATCGGTGCTGAGCCAGGCATTGACCCTCGTCGAGCCTCGGTCAATGTGCGCTACGGCCACATCCGACAGCAGTGCATTATTGAGCTTGTGGACTATTCTGTCGACCGCTGCAGCTTTGGCCGTATGACGAACAATGAGCTAGTGGAGATGCTCGGCGATGAGGAGGCGAGCAAGAGGGAGCCTTGGGCCAACGTACGCTGGATCAATGTGGGCGGACTAAGCTGGGAGGTGATTAGTGCGTTGGCGTTGCGTTATGGTGCGTCTGTTCACGCAAACAGGGCGGCCGAATGTTTGCTGACATGCGTAGATATCCATCCTCTGGCGGTCGAGGACGTACTGCATCAACGTGGTCGTGCGCGGTCCAAGGCCGATTACTACCCAAAGCACCTCTTTCTTCGTCTTCTTTGCCATCGAATTGGCTCGGAAGATGAATGGCTCTCTCCCGACTCCACATTGGGACATCTTCCGCTAGACATTCCGCGCTCCGAGTCGCCAGAACCTATGGATGAGAAGGGAGACGACTCGGGGACAGCCGATGAGGTCCACGCTGTCTACCTAAACCCCGATTTGAACGCGGGACAATCCACTATGAAAGGTGCATGGGACGCGGCCAAGCGTGCGGCGGTGGACGCCGGCACATTGGAGAGATCTCGCCCACGGCCTACGTTACAGGCGACTTGGTCGTCGAGCTTTATCAATCGCATACACAAGGTCCGTGAATTCGCATTCTCCTCAACAGCAAAATGATTTGATGGCTCACCGAATGGCTAACGTCAACAGAAGCAGAGACACGCCGAAGACTGGAAGCTCATCCAGAAGCTCAAGAAGGGCGAGCGCGTGAATGTAAAGGTTTACCCGATCTGCATATTCTTGTTCCGCGATGGTGCGTCATTTTTGCGCATTACCAGCGCTTTGAAAACGCGCGTATATTAGCATTAATATCAACGCACAGGCACTGTAATCTCGATCTCCCAAGGTTTGTTCTCCTGTATGCTGATTGTGGCCCTTTTGACGTTTATATGTATATCCACCGAAGATGCCAAGTTAGATTTCACTGCGCCTATTCGTGATCGCCTTCGACAATCCGATACGGTCCTTCGAACTACTGCTGATCCATCACTATTGGTGGAGAGTCTTATCGACCTCAGTACGTGCGTAATTCATATTCCATTCCCCGTTAACCCTGGCGATTGTCGTGCCCGCAGTCGTCGATCAGGCACTGGAGGTCGTGGAAGAATACCAAGGTAAAATTTTCAAGATTGAAAAAGAGGTGCTCCTGAAGCCGGACATGAGGACCGTGACTTCCTGTGCGAGATTTCCTTCTTTCTGACCCGTACAAGCCGCCTCACTTCGAAAATCACATCGTAGTGCACATGCTCCAAGAAGATCTCATTATGCACAAACGTTCACTGGAACCGATCAAGACGCTCGTGTACGGTTTGCGGCGATACGACGTTGACCGTGTTGGTGCGATTGCGGAGAACCAATCCGAGGGCGTGCCGTGGGATCCTGTGACCCGGCCGGTAGGATTCATGAGCGACCGGGCGAGGGTGTATCTGGTAAGTCTGCGGCTGTATGAGCTTTTTCAAGCCGAAACACTGAGATGTTCCTTCTGATCCAGGCAGATGTGTACGACCATCTTGAGTATATACTCATGAGCTTGGATATGTTCGCCGGCGTCAGCGATAATTTGATTAACTACACCTGCAATGCAAGGGGTTTCCAGCATTCACTTCAATCCCCTTGTCAATGTACTAACGCAGGTGGCTCTCGCAGATGGTATCATACCAGATGAATGAAGTCATGTACGTCAGTCCAGCTTGTAAGAATCTCAGCAATTGATGTTCCACGCGTCGCAGGCGTCGTCTCACTCTTGTTACAATCATATTCCTGCCGTTGAGTTTCCTTTCCGGATATTTCGTGCGTAGCAGATTGCATGTACGTGCTATGTGCTGCACTCAGGCTCGTACCCTGACAGGGGATGAATTTTCAAAACATGTGGTCCACCACGACACATACCGACGTTTTGTACGTCCATCGATCTATCTCGTTCCATTGGCAGCATTCCAACTCATTCGCCTTTTTTTCTTGTACCGCAATTGTGAGTGCAGCTTCTGGGAGATTGCTTTTCCCGTGATGGCTGTCACAATCCCGTTGTTCATGATGCCTGACTTGAGGCGTATCGTGCACTACTTGGAAAAGCGGATCATCAGACGGCAGGTGCGAAAGGTGCGTAGGATGACAGATCTTCGTCGGGACGGGCCTGAATATCGTCGATGGCTAGACCTATGAGTACGAATAGCCTGAAGGTGGCGTGTAGGAGTTTTTTGTCGTGTTGGAGTTTATGTTGTTTTCATCAATTGATACCCGCTTTTGACACAACCCCGGCATGTTGAAAGCACAAGGCAGCAGTGGCACCTGTGCCGGCATGGCCCGTTACGAGTTGTGGACTCATCCTTCACGGGAGACACCGGTATGACCGTCGGGGTTTTGAGAGAATAAATAGATGTGTACGCTGGCCGTACCGTCCTCGGTGGGCAGTTCAAATGAATGAGCCATCCGAGCACAACCGTTCGCAGTTCTTCCGAGGGAAATGGGTCATTACCGGTCCGCGAAGTTTCTCTATAGTCATCGACAGTGAGAACGAAATGAGGTAGCACAATATTGTTTGCATAGATTGTGCAGGAACTGTGGGGAGGTAATTCAGGCTCAAAGGCTTGTCGTGAGAATAGCTTGGAAAGGAATGATCAGTAAATCGTACTCGCCCGCCAAATAGACGGTCATAACTTTGCAGGAGGCACGATGCAATCAATTCAAAATGAGGGTTGACTGAGTCCGAGTCGGATCGCTCCAGGTTGACTGGACAGTCATGTTTTTACTTTGATCCCATTCCGAAAGATACTGGTAATGGGATTCCGCTACTTCTTCATCACTACGGGTGACACGTCAATCAATTTACAGTGAACACTCATCTTGGGGCACCGGAATTCGAGACTGTTAGAGAGAAATTCGAGTGGCAGACCAAGATGCGAGAGACGCGCGAGGATTCCTGAAAGCAGGGGTAAAGACTTGAAGAGAGTGCTGCCGCAAACCGCATTGGCAGCGAAGCGGTTTGCGAAACGCGCTTATATGTGCCTGCAAATGATACTATGATAGAGTCA